GTGTCCCCTTACCTCCCAGGGGTCCGTCCCCAGTGCTCACACAGCACCATGTAGAAGCCCCCAGCGTGGGGTATTGTATTGCTTCTTCTGAGCTCTGTCTCCCCTTCCAGACTGAGTCCTGGAGGGCAGGCCCCTCCCTTAGACACTTGATAGCGTCAGTAGCCAGCACAGAGGAGACACTGAATCAGAATTTGTTGACTGGAGGAGCCAGTTTGTCTTGATGTCTGATCATCACCACACAGGACTTCCCCACTCTCTCTCCTGAAACCTCACGGAGGCACCAGGCCTTTGCCTCCCCAGCCTCGACTGCACCCTGTCTTCATCACCTCCGTGCCGCTTAAGAGAAACCATCTCCTGTTTACTCTGGCTGAAGGCAGTGAGTAATAGCAGATGGACTTCTTTGTTTTGAAACACTTTCACATTTTCATGTGGCAAGAACGGTACCAAGAGCTTACAGCATGAACTTTTTGGGAGGGAGGAGAGGCTGGCAGTTTTCAGATTCACATCCCAATACTGGTGGTCTATTTGGAGATGGTTGGAATAAGAGGCGTGTGGCTTCAGAGCTCAGCTTCGTCACACGACTGTGTCTGTGATTTCTACCGGGCCCCTGCCCGATTCCCCAGCGGCACTGTCGGTAACGGGCACAGAGAACCCCAGAAGGCAGCTGTGAGGATGAAGTGACATAACATGTGTGGACTTCTTTGGTGCCGCATAACACTCACTTGGTTATTGGAGAATGAACCAGTCTTGCCACTTCAGATTCTACTGGCCTGCAAACCACAGTGGCATTTTCCCTTTATTTTTATTTAAGAATCACTCCTGATGTTTCTAAAATTAATGTGTATTTTGGTGTCACCCTTGCATAATCAGCATGGACACCATGAACCCACAGAACTGAGCCTAATATCTGAATGTCTAGAAGGTAAAAGCACTGCCCCCATTCTTTTTAACCCTGACTCCTAAACTACGTAGGTTTCTCTAATTTATAAACAAAAACTTTTCTCCCCAGGCAACAGGAGTATAAATGACCAAAACATAAGATACCCTGGCTGTCCAGCCTCCTGTCCTGTTGGGCGTCTAGGAATGTATGCTTTGAAATGAATAATTCCAGTAATAATATTCACGTGCCCTGTGATGTGAATCTTTGGGGTGAAGTATTTGAGAGAATTAGGGGATTGACAGACAAAATAACTTTGTGGTGAAATCTTTATGTAAAGTTTTTGAGAGTTAGGCAGTTTATAGCCTAAAATCTTGAAAATGATATCAATTATGAAAGGAAAACAGAAGTGTGATGTGGATTTCTCCCGGCCCCGCCCAGGCAAGAGCTGTGTGACCTCAAGTCCCTCACACGATGTCTCTGAATCTCCTTTTCTCCTGAGTGAAATGTATAGGAGAAATATTGAAATACTTATTATATATTCTGAGATCAAAATAAAAAGTAATCTCATAATGACATCAAATACAGGAGATATCTTACAAATTTAGGTGCATCTAATCCTACCAGTTCATTTTTTGGAAACATCAGTTCCCTTGAACTAGTTGTGAAACAGTTCTGTTTAATGATAGCTGTAGTCTCCTTTACGCGATCTAAACGAGTTAGGACATCACTGGAAGTTAACAGTGTACTCTTTATTCTGAGGTCAAATCGAGTTTTATTCTCATGATGTCTCAAGAAACACTTGTGAGAGATCATGAAAACTTCTGGGTCCCCAGGGACTTGCTTTGAGCAGATGCCTGCAGTCCCAGGGCTGTTTGACTTGCAGAAATGGTTAATGATTTTCTTGGAGGTGTGGGGAGAGGGGTCAGAGCCCTTTGTACATGAACCGTTTGATCCACGTCAAGCAAGAATGTTCTTGGTACGCACAGTCCAGACGCTCAGGGATTACAGAGCTGGAAGCAGATTATAAAGTGATGGATGTGGCAGGCACGTTAATTTTGTTTGGTCTTGAATCCTGACCTCAGAGGGCCCTTCATAACAGCTCTCCGGGTAATGTGAACTTTGTTCTGTAGATTCTTGTGCTGGGTGATTAATCAAGCAGGCTTGAGGGTTTGACATGTTCACATGGCCTGTGGCAGGTGTGCGCTGAGAGGGTCACGGGCCATGCACTTGTGCCCCAGCACCCGGGGAGAGCTGATGGTCCGATAGTCACGAACACGCCTTGTTCTTCTCTTGCTGGGTTTTAGGTGACTTTATTAACGTTTCCAGGGTGATTGAAATGAGATATTTAAGGGGTCCACCAAGCTCGATGGCTGTTTTGATGGAGTCAAGGCCCAGACAGGAGGGAAAGCAGTCTGGTTTGTGGGTGTTTCCTGGCAGAGTTTACTGCTCTGATACTGTGGCCTCTAGAAAAATCATGTCACCCTGGAGTGATGTGCTCCAAGTGACAGCCAGACATGGATCTCCCTTGACGGGGAACCTTAGAGCCCCGAGGTGTGGGAGTAGCGGCTTCCCCTCCGTTCTGCCGAGACAAATTTATAAACTCTGATTGGATTACATGAGGATGTGCCGGGATCATCCAACCTTCAACTAATGCACATCTGTCCTCGTAGATAACTCAAGCCTGCAGCTGTTTATCATCAAGGGCAGTGGAGAGAGGGGATGAGAGTGGGTTTCAAATGCGCATTTGATACCCGCACGTGCTTCGTTATCTGAGGTGCCGTCTTGCGTTGTCCTTGGGACCGCCCCCAGCCTTCTACACTGCGTCTGGTTTGGTTTGTCTGCTGTTTCCCTGGTGCCTGAGCTTGGAAGGGTTTCGAGTGGACAGTGTGTGCCTCTTGGCTCTTCGGGAGTTTTTCATTCTCAAGAATTATCTCCCAAGAAGAATATGCTTTAAGCCTAAACCTGCTTTTAAGACAGGCAGCTATGATCGAGTGTGTGAGTGAGTGAAAACAGCGGACCCTCCACTTCGACCTCACCCCTGACCTTGGGAGCAGGTTGTTAAGCCCGAGAGCCTGGCTTCAGTCACAGGGAGGCAGCTTCCCCACCACTCTGCTTTGCTTGATGACGCAGTCTTGGACAAATCCACTCCAATCGCACCTCTTTCCCCGTTTAACCCCTTTCGCAGAACTGCGTATGAGTCTCAAAATCTTGAATTAAAAAATGGCAGGCTAGAGTGGTTGACATTTTTCCTATTTACTATCGGCTGCAT